TGGGGCTTGAACACCAAACATAGTAAAAAAATATCTGGTTGTCAGTAAAAAGTTTGCAGATGGTTAGTAAAAAAAAAAAAAAAAAATCTTGCAGAGGCAACCCTGCTTGACCGCAGCAGTAGTTTTATACCATGCTCCCCTCCCACTGGGTATGGTAAGCACTCCCTCATCCTTTCCAGAGAGACTGAAAACTCCCTACGCCCAGGACTCAAGACATTTCCTTCATGCTGCTCATGTGCTCATGACCTTCCCCTCCTAATCTTCCTCTGCTCCCTAAGAAATTGGCACCACTAGCCCCAAGAAACAGCATCTCCCCTCCCCTGGATACAGCTCCACCCAGACTCTTCCCCTTGAGGCTGTCCCCACTCCTGGGGATACCATGTCCCTACTTCTCCTCCCCTTCCCTGGATATAGCATCCCTTTTTGACTTCATATGACATCCCACAAGTCAGCAGGTCCCCCAGCCTCAGGGGACAGTACACCCAACCCTCTCCTGGTCTGTACCTTTTGCATGGTCCTTGTCCAGCTGGTTGGCAGTTTTCTTCCAGTCTTCAATCCTGTCCTGCAGAGGGTTAATGAGACTCTCCATCAGGGCACTGGAACAAGGGAGACACAAAGAGAGCAGGGGTTAGAGAGACCCCCCACAGAAAGGAGGCAGAGGCAGGAGCAGGCACCAGAAACGGACAAGGGCAAGCACCAGCATCCCAGCCGGGCACTTGGAGCACTGTTGGAAGAGAGCTCACAGTGCCAGAATCCCAGCGGGCATGGGTGGATACAACAGTTCAGAGCACCGACTGGGAACTGCTGGGAACAGCTCCTTGCATGACAAGTGAGAGGCAAAGCTAACACATCCAGAGGAGTGTTCTGGACTGTCATGGACAGAGAGGGTCTCAGATGTTGTGCCTAAAGCCTCTAAGGGGAGACCAGAGAAATCCAAGGGCTGGAATGGAGGGAGAGAGGAGACTGGCATGATATTGTACATAATCGCAGCAGTTGGCCTACAGCTGGTTTTGCAATGGGATCCTGTACACTTGCTAAGTTCTTGCTAGCCCAATTGTGCAGCTCAGGGTGGAATTTCACCCTGGCAGCAAACGGACGGACCCTGCCTGTTGGAAGCTCTCTTTTGCTGTGTAGGCACAGGGAGGGCTCATCCCATTGCATGTGTCTGGGACCATCTGACAGAAGGAGAACAGCCTCCATCTGTTTCACTGAGACATTAAGGCCAAGATTTTCAAACCTGAGGGCCTAGCGCTTGGCTCCTATTTCTATTTTTAGGCACCGAGTCACTGCTTTGCACTTCAAATGCATGGAACACTCTGCCTGCTGAACAAGGACTTCATTGAGTGCTCTTCATGTCGCTGGGTCAGAGTCCCAGGGAGGACCCCAATCCCCAGCTCTCTGGATGCCCATCACAAGGTGAAGAGACTTAATGTCACCTCCTTCATCCTTGGGGGAAGGCATGGCTGAGGCTGGCAGACTTGTGTCCCTTGGGCCCATTGGACTTACTTGGTGAATTGCCTCAGTTTGGCCTCGATGCTGCGGTGCCGCATGCACATGCGAGTCAGTGCGGAGCCAATGTCCCTTGTGGCCCCTGGAGGGAGACAAAATCCTTGTTACGGCAAAGTGCCACACTCTGAAAGCCTCTTCACTGAACTGGAATGCCAGCCCCTTCACCTGGGCACTAGCCTCTCCCCATCTGTGCAAAGCAAAAACTATGTACTAAGGGCAAAGTGCTATGACCACAATCCATTCCTGTTGGGATCCACTAATCCAATACAGGATTTCCCTGAGGTTGCACCAAGCAAGACATGTTCAAAGCCAAGTATGTCAGAATCAGCTGGGAATCATGCTGTGGAGCATTAAACACCCAGAGCTGGATTTCTGTGAGCATTTGACATGGAAGAGATGACTATTTCTGTGCCCAAGTGAGAACATGCTGGGTGCACCCCCTGCTTTGCTGCATCTATGTATAGTATCATGTGTAAAGTAAATAACAATGCAGCAGGGAGATTTAGGCCTTGTGGGGTTTGCAAGGACTGAAGTTATGGATCAAGCCTGTTGTCAGGGCTGGGAGCCCCCTGAATCCAAAATCCAGCCTGTTTTCCTGGTATCCTCAGCTGGAAATGATCCTGAGATCTGCAGCAGAGGTTACTATGACATTGAGGGGCCAGGGAGCAGAGGGTTCAGCAGGCCAGAGGGGCATCCCATCTGCTGAGCATTCACTTCTCTCTGTTATAAGCTGGTCAATATAAACCTTCTTATTTAGTCAAGCACGGCTGATCGTATCTGAAGCCAAACCACTGACTGAGTGGGAATTAAGAATCCCCTAGAGCTCTCAAAACCCCTGGACAGCTGAGAGCTAAACGCATCCCTACGACAACCCCACCAAGGTCCAAGGACCAAGGTCACTGGTGTCACAGAGACAGATGGTTTTACCCCAAGGATGGATTTAACCCAGACAGTCTACTTTACTAGCCAAGTCTGAACTGCTATTATGCTTCAGGCTGCTTTTTCCCAGCTTTTCTTCACCAAGGAGTACTGCTCACCACTGGCCACCAGAGGACAGCCTGAAGCCAAGAATAGCTAGAGGTGGGCTGATCCTTGGTCAACATCCCCAATTCCAGGCAGAGAGAGACTGTGAGAACAGGAGTGAGGGGAAAACCAATATGCCACACAGGCTGATTGGCAGAGACTGATGGGGAGACGAAGACCGCCTTAGGAATCTCCTCTAGGCCATGCCACAGCTCTCTTGCTTGGGAGAGAGCTCAGAGAATGTCCTCTCAGATCAATCTGATCCAAGGGCAGGGGCCCTGTAGGGAGAGGTCCCAGCTCGGGCTTAAGGATGGAAGGGATTCTGAGGTCAAGGGGCATAACCCTCTGGCCATGGACATGGGTGGGAGAGCTGAGCCCTAGGAGGGTGGGTCTCAGTTTGGGCCAGTGGGCTGATGCTGTTATATCCAGAAGGGGGCATTGCTGGGGCCTAACTCAAACTTTTGAGACCTTGTGAATGTGTTGCTTAGGGGCTAAGACAACAGGATCTGGGAAGCACATTTATGCCAGCTGGCCACAACCTTCAGACTTCATCCATAGCCACGCACTGCCCCTGAGCTCAATCTTGTTCCAAAATTCAGCTTCAAAGGGGAACTGGAAGCAAAGTAGGGCACAGCCCATCTTCCTGTCCCACTCAGGATGAGAATTTGCCCTGTGCTATATTTCTCCTTTTTCCCCTTCACTGTGTCAACCTGGCCCTCAGGGGTCTCATCCCATCAGCATCTTCCCTCACACCCTCCCTCCTCTTGCTCTTCTGCATCATACATAGTTCTGTTCTCACCCTTTTAAACCCTTCTTCCAATCAGTGCCAGCCTGTACCCTCATGCACCCTTCAGCTCTTCAAGGACTCTGCTCCTTCTGTCCATCATTCTAGCCTACAAGCCTAGGCCCCAGGACTTCACTGTCAGCACTGTGCTGTACCAACTCAGAACACACAGCTGAAGCAAGGAACAGATACAGATCCTTACACTCCTGCAGCTCCCTTCACTGGACCACTGTAGTGTCAGCTGAAGAATTCTCATCCCACCTAGCAGAAGACAGCATCAGCCCAACTCCTCTGCCATATACCACATCTTGGTAGCATATTATAATCTTCAACCCTCCAACAAAGTGTGTCCATAACAAAACACGCAGCTTGTGCTCTTTCAGAGTCAACAGCCCTTTCCCTGCTCCTGCCCTACACTACAAGCTCTTCAAGCTGTGGGCCTGTTTGTAAGGTGCTGTGTCTGCTCATCACGCTAAATAATAATCCTGCCAGCCTAACACATGCTCTCCTCTAACTCCCCATTCCCAGAGCTGCCCACCTTTCCCCAGGGAGTGCACCTGGAACAACAAGCTAGCGTGCATCAAGGCCATTTGGGTGCAAGGGCTAATCAGTATAACCCTTTTGTCTTGGAAGTGCTTTTTGCCCATCAGTTGCTTGGGACCAGTGATTCAGCTGTCACATTTCTGCAGGCAGGGAGAGGTGTGTGTGTGTGTGAGGTAGGGAGAGGTGTGTGTCTGTGTGTGTGTCACATTTCTGCAGGCAGGGAGGTGTGTGTGTGTGTGTGTGTGTGTGTGTGGGTGTTCTGAAGGACAGGGGACATCTTGTCAAGCTGCAACATGAGGTTTGACAATGAGATGCAATGTATGTATCTAGCAAAGGACTGGGAAAAACTCAGAGAAAGAGAATACAGGGGGAGGTAACCTCCTGGATGCAAAACTCACAAGCTGTTTAGATCCCTGGAAGAGACAATTTGGGCGTGGGTGGGATTTCTCTGGCTTATCCCTTTACTCATAACTCATGGCTCAAGGCTGGTTCTGTTACTCTGGAGCTCTGAGCTGCAGACGGCAAATGCAAATCCCTCACATGTCTGGGGAGAGTCCTGATGCTTCCTCTCCCACAACAGGCATCTACCACTTGGACCAAAAGAGAGCGCCTCTTGGCTGCAGCACTAATAGGCCCCATATGTTCCCTGTGACTCAGACACCAGGACAGGATCACTCCTGCTTGCAGACAGGGTATGTTATTCATTTGCATTATGACAGCAGCTGGGGCCTCCTTGTGCCAGGCACCATGTACACATCATAAGGCAGATTCCTTGCCCTGACAGGCTCACCATCCAAACAGGTGGGGTGGGTGTAGGGGAAATGGCTCCTGTCTTTTGGTATTTCCTAGTAGCCTCTTAAAAGCAGGCAAAGCTTGCTCATATTCTCCACTGGGTCTTATGGGGAGTGGAGGGGTGGGGGGAAGAAACAATATGTCTCCTCATTGCCACCTTTGGGCAATGGATCTGTGTGTGTGTGTGTGTGTGTGTGTGTGCGTGGGTGTGTGTGCGTGCGTGCGTGTGTGTGTGTGTGTGTGTGTGCATGCACGCACAAGATGACTATCATCCTGGGTTCACACATTGGGAACTCTCAGAGCCAGGAAGAGGAGTTGGTAAGAGGAAAAAGATAATGCTTCCTAGCTAGAGCTGGGTCCCTCATGTCCTCTGTGAACTGGATACAGAGTAAGACCTGTAACTCAAATGGGTAGTGGGTTACCACATGCAAACTTCTGTTCCTGAAGACCCCACCAACCCAGCCAGCACAAGCAAGGCCATGGTTACTGTTGGGGTGCAGAAGATCCCTGCTGAAGTCAACAGTGAATGCTTGGATTTAAATGCAGAACAGGTGTGAAAAAGTCTATCACAACTTACTATGTCCCCAAAGGGGACTTTGAAAAACAAGGCATGGGTGTTCTGCAGTGTAACATGGGCTGTTGATCTACCTCTGGAGGGATGAAGCACTAGGTGTGGCTAGTGCTTAGATGAATCCTTGGGGAATACCTCAGTGCTGCTCAAAGGGAATTTGGTGAATCCCTAGGTGAAGCTGGGACTTTTACAATTGTTGTCCCCACAGAACAGATGGAGCTATCTGAGGACATGTAACACTGTAATCATACACATTCACTATATATCCCCCTGTGCTGTTTTTAAGGGATGGGTGTCTATCCAGCTGTGCTGGCCACACTAAAGCCGGGATAATTATATTTTGCCTGACATGAACCCAGTGCAGACACAGCCTACCTCACAAAATTGTTGTGCAGTGCTTTCTGTTAAATGGCTGTCATGTTCCACCCCAGAAACAGTTGCATTCAGTACTTAATATCGGTAACTCCTCTCAATGGGAGCACAGTAGTTATGGAAAAGGTACTATTTATTTTTCCTGTCCATCTCCTCCAGGTCAAACATAGAGCCCCTCTTACCATCTATAGTTTATCAAATTGTTTATAACAGCAACTCCCCTAGCTTCACAGAATGTTGTCTAGTGCCTGCCAACTTCTCCTTATTTTCAACTCTGCATGCGTTAAGTGCTCCCCTAAAGCTCCTTTTCCAGGTACATGATTGCTAGGGTTCCCACAAGATCACAGGGGATTATGAAACAGACCCATATCGATGAGAAAGATCACTTTTCTTTAGCAACCCACAGTTTGTGATGAGAAATGGGGGAAAGGATTGGTATGCAGGATAACAAATGGGAGGAGAGTTGTCTACAAATGGCCTCTCCACTAGGACATGATCCACACCTGCTATGGCCTTGTTTCTACAAGGGGGGAAGGTGCCATTTTAGAAGCACATTAATAGATGCCCTTGGGTTAACACATGAATGGCACGTGCCCCCAGCGGCTGGGGGGGGCACAGCTGCACCAGCGGTGGCAGAAGCCCAGTGGTGTAGAGCTCCCGCAGATGCTGCCAGTGTTGTTGGCAGTGGGGGGTGGGGAAGCGGCAAGCGCTGATAGGTGCCGCCGGCAGCGTCAGCAGTGGCTAGGGGCAATCAGGGACTGTAGCAGATGCTGCTGGCACGGGGTGCCAAGCAGCGACCGCCTGCAGGAGCCGCCAACAGTGTTGGAGGCACCTTTTTGCAAGGGGTGCACTGCCATGCATAGGGGGTGCATGTGCGCCCATGCGCATCCCCTACACGTCGCCCCTGGCTTAGCATGTTGTTGAGCAGAACTTTACCCAAGGCATACATGGACAGGCCTGCTAAAAAATTGCTGGCTAGCAGTGGTTAATCCCACCA